ACCGCCGAGAAAAGTTCTCCCTGGTACTGACACTACTTTACCGTATGTAATTGTGGGTGACGAGGCATTTCCCTTGCACAATAATTCAATCCGTCCCTTTCCTGGAGCCCAAACAAAAAATGATGAAGCAAAGGAAGTTTTTAATTATCGACTGAGTCGCGCACGAAGGCTTTCAGAAAACGTTTTTGGTATATTAACCCAGACGTTCAGAATCTATCAAAGGCGGCTACAAATGTCCCCGGAGCACATAGATAATGTTATCCACTTCATTAGATTTAAACCAATCAACTTATTGCCCGTGTCTCAACCCATGGCAGGATTGTTAATTATCCAGTGATGTTTTGTTTAAATTGTATTGTTCGGTACTTAGTATTTGTCTGATGATGGCCGTAGCGCCGAAACCGGTTACATATGTAAAATGTTAGTTACTACTATTATATGAAGTGTGGTCGACCGACTTTGAGCCCCTAGTTTTTTCTTCTTGGGAGTTTGAACGAGTTTGTAAGGATTTTGTATGATTTTGTAATAAGTTTTCAGGAAATTGTAATAAGTTTGAACGAGTTTGTAAGGAGTTTGTATGAGTTTGTCTAACAACATTGATTGAAAAATTTACAGGTGGTTTGCAGCAATTTTTATGTGCCGGACCTGTGTATGAACAGCGCTGCTCTCTCCAGATCCGCTCACGTTTCCCGACGACTGTGCGTTCGTGGAATAGGATTCGTTGGATTTTTTATTATCGTTGTATTTTCTCTTGAAACAATCTTTGATATGATGCCCTCTCTTTTTACAATAGCTACAGGTGATATTCAGTGCACGCACATTTTCAGTTTTCATCTCTTTTGGAGGAAATCTAGGAAAATTATTTGTTCTGTTACCTCTAGCAAAACAGTTCCCATATTTGTGCCCTGTCTTATTGCAATATGTACATTTGACGTTAGAAAAATTGTTAGTTACGTTATTTTTCGATCTTTGATGAATAAAACATCTTTCTTCGTCTACCGCAGCTTCAATAGCTTCCGCTAGAGTAGTAAACCTACTTGCTTTTATTATGAATCGTATGTTAGAGTGCAATCCTTCAACAAAACCTCGTAAGGCGGATTTTGAATTTAAATTTTCTATTGATTCTCTCGCGGTTTCGCCCTCGCTACTGATACATGCATCATTTAATTCATAAAGTAATTTTTTTATACGATTGCCAAAACTTCTAACATTTTCTCCAGATAATTGCCTAACGTTAATCAACTCTGATTGAATTTGCGGAATTGTTCTTTTCTCGGAAAATTGGTTCTCAAGAATTTTCTTCATTTGTAACCATTTTGTGTAAGTTTTGTGTTTCATTAAGTTGTATGCAGAACCGGTCAATTTGGTTTTAATTATGCTGACTAAAAGATCATCATCTGATTCCGGACAAAACTCTTGATCAACAATATCGCAACAAGTTATGAATCGATTACCATTAAATTCAGGAATCATTTTGATAGCTAATTCGGTATTCAGCTTTTTAGACATGTTTATAGAATTCCTCTAAAAAATTGTCAAAATTTAGATAAATAACCTAGGCAATGAAAATCAAAGATAAAATAGCAACGATAAGGGAAAACAAAATGAAACGAATGATTATACAAATATATGGGTGAGTTGCAAAAATTTCGATAAATACCAATTGTCTTCAGAATGTTTTCTTCTGGATTTCTTTTTATTCAGGATGTCTTCTTCAGGATTTCTTCTTATTCAGGATGTCTTCTTCAGGATTTCTGTGGATGACCAAGTACGAATTCTGCCTTGAATTCCTACCGCTGATGTACTCTCCAGGACTTCGGAAGTGCTTCCTTCTCGTCGCTGTTCCAGGGTGTGACGGCAGACAGGCGTGTGTACCGTCCCTGATGAGTATCGTAAATTCTGCGATGATGCGTGAGGCTTCCAACAAACTCTCCAGGCTAAGGTAGAACGACGTTACTACCCCTGTAGCGTTGATGATATGAAGCTCCTCCCGTTAATGATGATAAGCAGCTGACTATGGAAGACGTCTCCTCCGAGTGCTAACCACTTGAACTTCACTGGATCACTTTTACAATAATTTTGCTAAAGTCCACAACCCCACACCTGACACCAAATTTATGTTGCGAGCGGTCAGGCTGGGAAAGGGGTGGTCGTAAGTTGTAGAGCAAAACACTGGATACTTATCGACTAGATTTGATCATTGGTGATTTCAATGGCGGAATTAGTACATTGGTTGAGTTGACAAAAGGTGAAATTTAGAATGAATATCTAACTGCAACTGCCTGCGCGTGGCTTCGTAAAGTTTATTTAAAGAACATTCAAGTCACGTGACAGTCATAGTGTATCACGCCATCAATAGACAAAAAGAGAAATATATAAAATAAAGATAGAAACAAATAGCAACATGGTTTCCTGGTCGTTCACAACATATAGTCAGATTTTATTCAAAATTGGTATCTGGAGGTTTTAGAGGTCGGATATATGAATCATTTGTCGAAATGGGGAACTTCAAGATGGCGGATACAATATGGCGGACGAGTTTCCAATTATGATCTATGATCAGATTCTATGCAAAATTGGTATCGGGGGGTTTTCGGAGTCGGAGATTATGATTCTTTCATCAAAATTTGGAAATTTAAGATGGCAGATTCAATATGGCGAATGAGTTTTGTAATTATCATCCGATTCTATTCAAAATTTGTATCTGGATGTTTTCGGGGTCGGAAGAGAATTAGGAAACAAAATAATAATAATTATAAACTGAAAGAATATTTCCTAGAAATGATTGTATGTATAAATAATTGTATATAGCAAAAAACGTTTGCCGGGAATCAGCTATTGTAATGAAAATTAGTTTGGAAAACTAATGAAACACCTTTTTATAGATTGCCAAACTAAAAAGAAGTGAGTTGAAAATGAAGAGTTTCAAGAAATGTAGAGGTATAGAGTACCGAACTAGAAAGAAGTAGAAAATAAATAGAGTAGTTTGAAAAACTGAGAATCCCGCTTTCAACAATTGACAAACTAAAGAGAAGTAGAAATGAAATAATGGAAGTTTTCTGATGAATATCTATCTAAACATATTTTTCTAGAAATAATGTTCATGATAAAACAACGTTTGCCAGGTTAACTTGTATTATACAGGGTGTTTCAAAATTCAGTATCAAGATTTTAGGGGCGTATTTTTCAGGTCAAAATAAGACGTTTTTGTCCATAAACATGTGTCCGCAGACGCTTCGTTACCGATCTACAGAGCGTTAAAGTTAAACAAATACACGATGAGACATCCACCAACTTTCAAATAATGTCAAATGCTTCAAAACAAACCTAAACGTCAAAATGAAAATAGCAGTCAAAGCCCACTAATTCGCTTTTTCATTGTTCCGTTGAAAATTTTAATTAAATGTAGCGAATCACAAAAATTGATTTTACTTTTTTCTCGATAACGATCGCAGATGCGTGAAAATTACAAGAGATAAAAAAATTCAAAAACAAAACAAAGATTTCATTCCGTATCTCAGAATTCACCAGCGGCGCACCACAAAAAAGTTTATGGGGTAAAAAAGGGCTTGACCCCTGAAAAAAATATCTCCCTGTAGATTCTCACAATCACTCGGCATGCTGGATGATGTAAGCCCCAGAACCTAACCTACATTCCAAATTTGATCTCAATATCTCAAAAATTGAAAGAGCTATGAAGAAAAAAATAAAAAAATCTTGAAACTTTAACGCTCTGTAGATCGGTAACGAAGCGTTTGCGGACACATGTTTATGGACAAAAACGTCTTATTTTGACCTGAAAAATACGCCCCTAAAATCTTGATACTGAATTTTAAAACACCCTGTATATTATTTTCACTCGATTTTTTAGGGCTTTCTTTCGTCTCTGAGAATGTATAAATTATTAGGATATACAGGCTGTTACGAACTCGATTATATGCATGGGGATCTTGGAAACCGTCAGGGATACAAGAAAGTTTGAATGGAAGCAAAGTTGCGTAATTAGGAGTTCAACAAAATGCTGTTGAGGAATCCAAAAAACTCCTACTATTTTAGGAGAAATACAGAAAAAAAAACGAAAAACTGCTATTTCGTGTTTGATTTTATTTCTGACTTATTATGAGACAAAAGTAAAAAGCCATTCAACATTGTCATTGGCACTTTGTGTGACCTACAGAATGGCACTATCAAATTGATGATTGACGATTCGGATCTGGGCCACCATCAATGTGATTTTTCTTAATGCAGACCTACATTTTTTATTGCATTTTTCGAAAGCTCCCGATCCCCCATCATATTCGGGCGACTGAAGGCTCTCGAAAAATGCAATAAAAAATCCAGGTTCGTATTTACAGAAAATCATCCTCATGATGGTGGCCCAGAGCCGAAACGTCAGATTATCAATTCGATAGTGCCATTCTGTAGGTCACAAAAAGTGCCAAGGACAATGTTGAATCAGTTTTTCCTCTAGTCTCCGAATGAGGTCAGAAGAAAGACATAACGGAATCACAGTTTTCCGTTTTTTTTTCTGTATATCTCCTAAAATAGGATTTTTCGGATTTCTCGACGGCATTTCATTAGACTTCTGAGTAGGCAACTGTGCCTCCATCCGAACTTTGTTGTATCACTGATGTTTCCAAGATCTCCATGCATATAATCGAATATGTAACAGCCTGTATATTAGAAAACACAAGAATTCAAGAAGTAACTTGCAAAAAATATGCATCATCATAACCTAGAAAACAACAAATATGGAAAACACAAGAATTCAAGAAGTAACTTGCAAAACATATGCAGCATCATAACCTGAAAGACAACAAATATGGAAAACATTGTGACTCATAATGATGATTTCAAATTAACCTACAAATCCAGAGCGATTAAAAAGAAAAACGTTTCACAAATTATTTTATTGAAACATATGAAATAACAAGTTTGAACTAGATAACATAAAAGTCACTCTGATTATATTGAAAAGAAATACATAATATGGACATCACATGGAAAAATTGAAACGCGAATTAGAACTGATAAATCGCGATTCAATAGAAATAGAATCTAGCTTAAACCTCCAAATTGATGAACAACAAGAAACAATTAACAGTCTAAAAAATCTGATAAAAACACTACAGAAACAAAAAGACGAGATAGAGGTAAATGCAGACAAGAACACATGTTCAATTATCCCTATGACTCATACTGATAAGTCTACAAAAACAGAATACGGGACAGATAATATTCAGCGCCCCAGGGGCGTAGTTAAAGGAATAATGACAGACATTGAAGGAAATAAAATTGACTGCTCAGTTCAGACAACTGAGATTGATGATTCTGAGGCCAAGCAAGAACGAGAAGCAGTCGGACATGAGTCAATAAAATCCAAAAAATTTAAAGGAAATACTAACGACGTGAAACAACAAAGAAATAAAAATGTAAGGGAATATTTTGTAAAAAAACTAAGAGATTCTGTGAAACGTAATAAATCTTCTCAAAATCACTGGAAAGTCGAGAATATTGCAATGAATTCAGTAATAGCAAAAACATCAGATGATAATAATTCTCGAACTAGAACATCGAATATTATTCATTTATCAACGGAAATCAATGAAAATATATCCGAAAGTGATGAACTCATCCTAAATGGAAGTAATCCGCAAGAAAATGACACAGGAAATACTACTGATGAACATGAAATTTACATACCACTTCAGAAACCAGTTAATTCTGGAAATGACCTACCAGTTGAGACGAAACATCAGGAAGCACAAGATGAAACAAAATTGGACCATATTCTCGTTCTTGGTGATGAATATGCTAACGGTTTTTCACCAGTTTTAGATAGATTTATTGGTCAAGGTAAATATATTGTGCAAGAGAAAATCATGGCCGTGCAGAGCTTTCAGATTTAACAAGTGATATTTTTGATCATGCTATTACATATGGGCAAACAGATTACATTTTAGTAATGTTCAGTACTAGAAATATAAGCAACACAAAAACCTTGAAAATTGCTTTAAGGAATCTTCTTAGGATTAGTAAGATAACAAATTTGATTTTAGTTTCTGAATGTAATGTTCCAGCAGATGAACTTATTAATAGGATCATTAGGGACTCCATCAGGAGATCTACTCATTCACGAAGAAATCACTCGGTTAACTTGATAGTGGATTCAAAGCAAAAAGGGAGCAAATTCAAAGTCGTTAGTGAAATAACAGAATTTATCATGTCTCAAAAATATACTAACATAGTGTTAAAGACAGTAAAATTATGTGGCCATTCCTATGTAAATATTAATAGTGTAGATGATATTAGTAATGAAACCTTGCATTCAACTCAAAGTGATGTATGTAATGGAAACCACAAAAGCATTGAAAATATTGATACAGAGATCTTTCGCCTGGATTTTCAAAACAAAAATCCAACCTAATTCAGTGTGAACCACATAAAGCTTCAACAAATATTAGAATGCTCTTAATGAACATTCAATCGGTACGCAATAAAGCCGATGAATTGTTTATGCTTTTAGATCATTTAGGATATCCCAGCATTGTCTTGCTAACAGAACACTGGCTTGAACTTGGTGAACAATGTTATATATCTAATTGTACAACTTTAGCAGTTTATACAAGGACTAACATGATACATGGTGGCACTATGATCCTGATACATAACTCTGCCTCTGGAAATTATGACTTCAAACATATTGATACGTTTAATGATTTGCTGGAAGAAAAAATATTTGAATGTTTTATGATTCACAGCAAAAAAATTAATGTTTACATACTCTGTATTTACAGATCCCCAACATCTGACGTGAATCTATTCCTGTTGAAATTAGAATCCCTGCTATATCGACTTCCTCCCAAGAGCAAAATTATAATAACCGGTGACTTCAACATAAATTTCATTGATGAGACTTCGGAAGCTACCCAGTCGCTTTCAAACATTATGAGTTCCTTCAATATTACCATGCACGTTGATGCTCCTACCCGTATAACACAGCACTCTGCTGCTATTATAGATTATGTGTGCAGTAACTTGAACGATGAAACTGTGTCTACTGTAATAACACCATCAGGTTTATCAGATCATGAAGCAATCATTTGCACCTTCCAATCAAATTCCGTTAATAAATCTAATAAAAAACGATCCGGCAGAATATACAACAACAAAAATTACGAAAGATTTTTTTCGTCATGCCTAGATACTGACTGGTCGTTCTTATTGGATAATAATGATAGTTTCTCTGCATTTTATAATAAAGTCGTATACATTTTCAATAAGTCATTTCCACTTCAAAATATAAAAATTAGGCAGAATAAAGAATGGCTAACTCTTGGCATTAAAACATCTGCAAAAAACTTGAGGTCCTTGCATTATCGATATCTATCATTTGATGTAGAACAACCTGATAGTACTAATGTTGTGAACTGAGATTTAGAATCCTTGGTGAATATCTCTGCAGCGCATAACCTTACGTTGAACGCAAAGAAGTCAAGTGTTTTGTTTTTTGGACCAAAGCATAAACGTGAGCTTGCCAGTACTTCCTCAAATATCCTCATGGGCGGTAACACAATTCCCATTAAGAACGAGGTAAAAAACTTGGGGTTATGGGTAGACACAGAATTGAGATTCACAAAACATGTCAATCAACTTTGTCGTGGTTCTTACAATATTTTAAAACAGCTTTACCCGAATCGACATGCCATCAATTCTAGTTTGAAACTTCAAGTTTGTGAGTCTCTTATTCTTTCAAAAATTGCTTATTGTGATTGTGTATATGGACCAGCTCTCTTGAAAACCGACAGTGACCGCCTGCAGAAAATTCAGAACTCCTGCTTCAGGTTTTCCCATGGAATACGAAAGTATGACCACATTAGCCATAAATTTCTAGAAGCGGGTAAGCTCAGATTATTGGATGTTAGAAAATCACATTTGCTCACTCTTACTCATAAAATATTAAAGATTAAAGAAAAGTGATACCAGCGAATACTGCACTAGGAATTCACGATTGCTGACAATCTATAAATATAAGACGTCTACCTTTCAACGTTCCTTTACGTACAATGCCTGTAAATCATATAATCAACTACCCAATGAATTTTATGACTATAGTATTTTGAATTTCAAAAAAAAGTTGAAATCATTATTATTATCTACACAAATTGGATCTTGAATGAAATCAATTGACCCCTCTGGCACTCCTATGGTTAATGCAGTGTTTCACTAACGTATCTTAGCTCATTAGTCAATTATTACTGACATTTTATATTCTCTTCATTAATTCTCTTATATTGATATCGATATAAACCTATAGTATTATAAACATAGCTAGATAGCTTATCATAGTTTTAGCTAGTATTAATGTAATTCAATATTATATATTATAATGTATTTATAATCAATTAACACATCATGGTTAAGTTGAAAAACACCCTTGGGTGACACTTCGCCATTTCATCTATGTCACTTTTTATAATTTTATGGATGAATGAAGACGAGTTATTATTATTATTATTATTATATCAGGAAATTTACTAATAATCAATTCTTTCACTCTTACTTTGGCAATTACCGTAGGATTTACAGGAAAATGTTGAGGCACGCCAAAGAACTATACTACAAAAACAGAATTGAGCAAGCTTCAAACAAACCAAAGGAAAGTTGGGGCATTATTAATGAGCTCAGAGGAAAAACTTCATGCAAACAACAAATTTCCCTAAATCCTTACACTCTAAACGAATATTACTGTTCAGTAGCTGAGAAGTTGACAGTTGAACTGTCGCCCGAAAAAGCGCCACTTGATTTCCTCTCAAATGTAAGAATTCCGGATAGCATTCTACTTTATGATACAGATCTTCATGAACTAAAAACTGTAATAAAGTCAATAGATAAAAAGAAATACTCTGGAATCGATGAAATTTCGGCAAGAATCTTCGAAAACCTCCCAGACAATGTTCTCAGTATTTTTGCGAGTCTGATCAATGATTCGTTTCGTGCTGGCCATTTTCCTGACTGTTTAAAAACATCACTAGTAATTCCTCTACATAAGGGGGGAGACACGGAGAATCCGGCAAATTTTCGACCAATTTCTATAATTCCCACAATTTCCAAAATAATAGAGAAAATAGTGAAAAGAAGGATAATAGAATTTTTGATAAAGAATGGTATTATCAGTAAACAACAATTTGGATTTCAATCCGGTAAAAATACAACGGATGCTATCTTTTCCTTCCTTTATGAAGTTTATACTGAGCTCAACAATGGTGATGTAGCGGCAGCAGTGTTTTGTGATTTGTCCAAAGCTTTCGACTGCGTAAATCATGAAATACTGCTGCAGAAGCTTTGGTGTTATGGTTTCAGAGGTATATCAATGAATTCGGTAAAATCGTACTTATCAAATCGCAACCAGATAGTAGAAACCTTGTCAAGATCATCAAGATCTACTATAAAATGTGGAGTGCCACAGGGATCAGTGCTGGGTCCAGTTCTGTTTTTGTTGTATATCAATGATTTGTCGACTATCAACGTATCTGGGGAGTTTACACTATTCGCTGATGACACCACAGTATTTTGGCGTGCCAAGAACAGTAGTGTATTAAAGTTTGGTGTGATTCTAATCGACTTGTTCTCAATATTTCAAAAACATACTTATTAACCTTCCGATGCTCACTGGAGGACATACCCCTTGGGTCAAATATCATTGAAAATAAACTCAACACAAAATTCCTTGGATTGTTTATCGATACTAGGTTGAGATTCGAGGAACACATTCAGGCCTTGAGGAAAAAAATATCTTCTGGGTGTTTTGCTGTCAAGATTGTCTCAAAGGAGTTGGGATTGTGTGCGGCTTGAATCGTTTACTATTCCCTAATTGAGTCTCATCTCAGGTATGGCATCCCATTCTGGGGTGCATGTAATGCTAACTGCATGAGCAGTATTCTTATTCTTCAAAAAATAGGGCTAAGATTTATGTGCAAAGCAAAAATTCGTGACTCCTGTGAGCCTTTATTCATTGAACATAAAATACTCACGATAATAGCAATTTTTATATTAGAAACCGTTTGTCTGATAAGGAAACATCTGAACACGTTTAACAAACTTCTTTCACACTATGTCACTCGACAAGCTATGAACGTAAGTCTGCCACTTCCTAAATCATCAATGATTAAGGATTCTGTTATTTACAACGGCTGCAAGATGTACAATCATCTACCTAGCTATGTCAAAAACACTGCCAATTTGAACATTTTTAGAAAATCTGTGAAAAACTTACTGTTACATAAAGCTTATTATAATTTACAGGAATTTTACTCTGACACATTTTAACACTTTTGTGATTTCCTATTTACTTGTTATCTGTTTTTATATATACAAATTCTGTTTGTGTTGGTTTGTGTATTTAATATGTATTGCGGATCGTTTTTTTAACATTTATCTTATATACTAACTGGTATGAAATTGACATATACTATTTTAGTAGGTATTATACATCACATTTTTATTATTTTTTTTTAATAATCGACCAGTATGCATTAGACTTAGGTACCTTGATATATTTTTTTTAAACTCAAGCAAACTTTGTCAACAAGAATTTAATTTCTTATGATAATAAAGTATATTCTCTCTCTAATAAGTAGGTAGGTACATACTGACTAGGTAACATGGAAATCCTCTGATTATAATAAAAAACAAAAATAAATATTATGTAGGAACATACTATCCTTACGTTCTGAAGTATACAGGGTGTTTCAGAACTGGGTTCAAATTTCTAGAAATTATTTAGTGCAAGGAAAGAAGACATTTGAGTAGTGTTATTTCGAACAGATTGAAATGAAATACATTGAAATCCGATACAACAAATTTTCTAATATAGTGGAGTTCAAAGATTCATAGGGTCATAACCCCATTTTTTCTTCTCATTGCACTGAATAATTTCTGGAATATCGGTCCCATAGTTCTGAAAAACCCAGTAGTAGAAAATAACAACGGCTCCGAGTAATCATAGATAATATTCACCGGCTTTGTTCAACATAAATATCTTGAGAGTTATTCATATCAATAGCATTAAAGTATTTTGTACCATCATTCCAATATTGCAAAAAGTTCGCCGATAATGAAAATCACTGATTCTCATTCATCTACTATCAAGTTTTTAGGTGAGTTTATATCTAGATAAACTCACCTTCAATTTGCTGCAGAAGCAAATATTTCCCAATGGTATCAACTATCTATCAAGAAAATGTACTAACTCTTGGAATGTCAAAAATTGTTTCAATCTCTATCCCAATTATACTGTTTTATATGAAGGTATTAGATGACGTCCACCAGTTGAAAGATATATTTTGATTGAATGTTGTTTTTCTAAATCAACAATATTCATATATTCAAATTTATTCGAATTGACATTGACCTCATAAGCTTTTATGTTACTGTTCAAGTGTATATCATACAAATATTTGAAAAAATAAATTCTTTAAACTCGGTACAGATTATTGAATCAACAATTCCAGAAGTAAGAAGCTGACCTGTATTATCCAATAATTGTATTGCACATCCAATCATGAAATGAATACCATTGTACTTCACTCACTCAATTTCAAAAACGTTCTTTGTGGGCTTGGCTAAATGGCATCGCATCCCTTCTCTATGGGTGTGTCTTGAAGTTTTTCCAAATTCAAGTCTTGTGCTCAGTCCAATTTTACATTGATGACGATAACATAAACAGATTAGTATCTCACAGAAAGTGTGTGTGTAACAAATTTACTCTCTTGAAGTTACAATATAAGCATCACTTTTGCCAATTCTATGGAAAGATTCATACCTTGTAGACGACAATTTAGACAGTATCCTTCTTTCTGTATCAAACTGGGATAATGTAAAACAAGATGATGTTAAGCTTTAATTTTTTCCTTGAATAGCGTCACGTATAAATGTTGATGATATTTTATTAGATGTTACAAGAATAATATTTCAGAAGAGTTGATTGGAGAATTCATGCTGTAATATATTATATCATAAAGCATTGAATTCAATGACCAGCAGTCATCCTCCATATCTACCATATCATCGACTAGATTAGAAAAATTTCGATTTGATATTTGGGGAATTCGATTACCGATATCAATTTTCTCATCATAGTCAAAATATTCAATGCGACGGTTCAATTTATCCAAAACTGAAATATTTATTCATAAAATTGAAAATTTGTAGGATTCGAGCCATTTCATAGCGACATATACCTTCGAACAAATCATGGCGGCCCAGTGGTCGAGAGCGCGAAGGCGCTGAGTTCGTATGGGGACTCCCACCGAGGCATGGGTTCGAATATAAGTTAGGCCATGGATGTTTGTAAATGTATGCTTTCCTAACCCCGCACAAGTTTCGACTTATGGGGCGTTGGATCCAGTGCTGGGTCCAACGAGGAAATGCAATTGAAAAAAAGAAAAGAAAAAAAAATCATGCATTTCATCACAACAAGTGTTTGTAGTAACATGAAAATTGTTCTCAGGTCATTGAAAATATAATATTCCTTCACACCATCAGGTTTCCCTCTCAAGTGTTGCAAATAATTATATGGATTTCTCAAAGTCATTTCGTTTTCTAAACACATTTTCTGAAACTCATCTTTATTGCAAAAACATATTCGGCAAAAACTGTTCGCTGTGAAACTCTCCACCATTCCTGTTAAAGAGTTAAAACCCACCTAAGTTATCCCCCAAAATGAGAAAGAGAGTGAAATGAATTATTTTGATTTCTCCATAGACTTCAAGTTTGACACCATTGTTTTCCAGATTCTTCAATTGTTCAAAGAACTCTGACAATATGGGTTTATTTTCGAAAAAGTTTCTATCTGCTGCGTGAAGAAGGCCCTAGGAAAATATATTTTCAATCCTTGAACACATTCCGGGTGGAATTCCTCCAATAGTAAAATTTACACCACCAAGTTTGTGAACACCTACGTGTGAACCTAACGGATTTCCACATTCGAAATCATCATAGTACATGAGAAGTGGCACAACGGTTTTATTTTCGGATTTTTTCAGTAAGGCTTTCCATGAATGTGAGTTGAATATACTACTGAAACTATCTGAATATTCAGATTTATAATCTATATACTGATAATACCTCATCAACCATCAAAAATTCAGTCAGGACTTTCTCAATCGGCTCTACATAAGAATAGCACCATCTGTAATCTATAAACACTGAACCACTTTTTCTCCTATCATCGATAATTATTCCAATTTGTATTTTCTTAGCCCTAATGAACTTTGAAGAACCTCCTGAATATTTGAATCTGTTATGTCCAGTCAGTAATTTGTCTAGTGGTTTATGGATATATCATTCATTATGAACTTGAAGAATGTTTCTGGGAGCTTTGAAACTAATTCATGTGTGTTGTTGGATAAACTTCCTCGTAACATTGCTATTTTTATAAAATTTCACCAAAAAAGAAAGGACAAATTGCATCATTGTGGTTATTCACAATCTCCATGTTTTCACTGTTACTGCTGAACACCACTGTCATCATTACATCTTCTTGAATAGGTCATAACCATGTCTGAATGCGGTGTGATCCTATGATCTTTTGGATCACTCGCCTCTGTGTTTGATACATAATGTCTTGTCATAGGTTTTTGATAGCAGATATAGTATTGAACTTCTGTTAATGAGTAGAAATACCACATGAGTAATTATCTGAAAAATTATGGAATGATTCCATACGACCAACGTATTCATCTAAACTAACAATCAAAGTTTGACAGACCTTGCAGGTGAACATTATCTGTGATGTCATCTCGGAAAGTATAATAAAACATATATATATATATCTTCAAGGAACAAAAACATATGAAATTGAATTTGGTTTGTATCACAATTTCGTTTGATTTTATTTGTAATATCCAAATTATTTGGGATGGCTTCATCCCATTTACTTCATATTTCATATATTGCATGCTAAATGGAATGCCAAATATGTTCAGACTCTACTTGGTACTTTAAGTGTGAAACGTGGTATGCTCCAAAACAAAAGTCTATACCTCTAAGCACGGTAGAAGCACTATATAAATGTCCACTGATGCATACATACACATGTATGATTGTTGTGCCACTACCTTCAACCACAATGAGAGGTTGAATAGCTATCTCCAGCGCGGATACTTTTTCGGTCCTCAATTTTATTTTTGTTTCGATGTCAGCAGGCGACTGAAACTGAAATTAATAATGTATAGTGAATAAAGCCATAATAATATTGAAAATATGCTATTTCGATTATTCACAGCTCTCAACCACATTTTTCGGAAAGATTGGGAAGAAAAGGTTTTTACACCTAAGCAAGATTTATATTCCCCATATATGGTTTGCAATTTTCAACTCTCATCATGAAATGAATAATCTTGAGAAATACATAACACACTTGTTTTGTTTACTGTAGTATCACCGATTCGTTATGGATAAGTTTAGTAATAATAAGCAATATTGGCCTCAAAAAACATTATCATCATTTCCATCAGTATTCATTACCACAGCTCTCATCACCATTCCATTTCTGGAATCGATTACAGTGGGCTTCCATTGTTTTCGGCTCTTTCCATAAACATGCCTCGGTTTATTAGGCAATTATCACATAATGTTTGTAGTCTGAAAATGGATGTGAGAATTAATATCTGCCACACAGAATTGAGGTTAGGTTAGACGATCTTATATGTAGCTCGAGATTCATGTTTTCACATTTTCTTGGTAGTGACCCAACTACCTGTGAAAAGTGAGAATATTGGGAACTTTGGTCAGATGTCTGTCAAATCTCATTTGATAATGAAAATGATTCACTTTCAAGAAAACAATGATTTGAATTCTGGAAATGCTTATAATGTTGTAGAATCAGATGAGTGAACATATTTCTTTGTGTATCTATTGATTCTACATGTTATCAGTTTATTGCGAATGAGGAAAAATATTCAATGAACAAGTTTATTTCAAAAACCAACAAATAGGTTTCAATTTCTTTCCATAATAAATAATATTTTATTCATATTTATTTCTTGGTGATATAAATTTATCAACTTCAAACATAATTTCAAGTTAAGATTAGAGACTGTGGCTAAAAACCCTAAAAATTCTATTACAAGTGTTACGACCTGGTCGAGCAGGAGTACGAAATCCTCAAGCAAGATCTGTGAGAGGCCGTTAACCAGCAATAGGGGCCAGGCAGGCCCTAGCATCTCGACTAACGGCGGGGGCTGGAACTATACGACGTGACAGCGTGGCGAGAAGAGAGAGGGACTACGAGAGTAACAGTCTTGGCATGGCGTTCGATTTGAACACATTGTTTGAACATATTGATGCCATTTTAAGTAAATATATTCAATAAACGCATATTTGAAGATTTCGCGTTTTAACACAAGTGTAAATACCTAAAAACCACTACCAAAATTTAGGTCCTATTTGAATTTGAATTATGTACTGTTCTTTCATTGAAGTGTGGCGATTTATCCAATCGTAACGGTTCATTGAAGAAACGAGAATTTATAAGCTATCACTTAGATTTACAATCACTCTGGATGGTAATTTCTGGAGAATATACAATATGATACTGAGAATTTAGCTGCTGAAATACATATTCGAATTTTGAAAGAATGTTTTGTGGTTTTTTGGTATTTGCACTTGTGATCAAACATACTCTCACTGGATAAAATAGAGTGGATGATTCTCTTTTTGAATCACATTCATGCTCAATTCTAAACTTACCATCATGTAATGTTTCTGCATCCAGTAAAACAAGCAGTATTCTATCACTTTCAGCACTCACACAATGGCCTCTCAAATTGATTGATCTAGTTATCACAGACTCCCATGACTCAATCAAATTATTTGAGTTTTTAGGAAATATCTCTTCGAAATTCCTCTCCACCTGCAAAAAAATCAAGAAACCAATATACATTTTTCAAGTAACAAGATTTTTTTCAATTTATATGCGTATCAAAGTTAGTTTTCATGATTATCTGATAACATACCTATCACATTATCAACAAGGCAGAACATAACAAATCAAGACAAATAGGCTCTCTTAAAATTGGGTACTGATCTCGTAGTTCTTCAAATATACCAACATCTTTCAAAAGTTGCCTTCTTGCACTGAAAGAGGCATCCTAATGATGATATACTTGGTCTGCAGGCTCTCTATGAAGTTTCAACCAAAGTATATTTTGATTTTCAGTATTTGTATTTAAAACTTCTGAAGATTATATCGAAATAAATCAAGGGTACCTTATATTTTTTTTATCGATTGGAGCACACGAAAGGGAATCCCTATAATGTTCAAAGAACATCGTGCGTTCCTAGGGAGGATAGGGACAGGAGGTAGGTATTGGAATTTTTTTTTGAATTTTTTGAGATTATATGTTGTTGGGAATACTTCCACAGGCAATGAATTCCAGAGCCTAGCCGTTCTATGGATGAAGGAGTCTTGATAAAGTGCTGTTCGACATCTTTCGAGGTTGACAACGAAAGGACGTGCTGACTGGGCTTGTCTAGTTCGTCTGATTGGTATTGCTAGTGAAGGGATGATTGCAGAGATTTCCGAAGAACATTTCCCGTGGAAGTATCGTTAGAAAAGTGAAAGGTCGCCGACCTTTCTACGGTGTTCCAATGATGTCAAAGAGTGAGTGAGTGTGGCGTCACCCACCAGGCGAATGGCTCTTCTCTGGATGGAATCTAAGAGCATCAGCGTATGTTTTGGTGCTGAACCCCATATGTGGGAACAGTATTCTAGAACAGGCCGTATCTGCGCTTTGTAGATCATGAGAAGCTGTTGAGGTGTAAAGTAGCTTTTCGCACGGAACAAGAATCCGAGTTTTTGTGAAGCAGCTTTTGCGATGGATCTGACATGATTATCCCATGAAAGAGTGTTGCTGTTGGAAATACCGAGCATAGATATGGTGGGCTTGGTGGGGATGGTGGAGCCAGACATTACAATATCGGGCATACTGAGTTCCGCCTTTCTAGAGAAAATGCAGGCTTGAGTTTTGGTGGCGTTGAGTTCAACTAGGTTGTTCGTTCCCCTGTGATTTCAGCAAGATCTTCATTGACAGCATTGACCTGCCTGCGCCGTGAGTTCTTAGTTTCCTGGGAAGAAATGGGAATTCTGGAAGAAAACGCAGTATGGAGGGTACTATCATCTGCAAAGCTGTGGATGGGGCAAGTCGTTACTCCCAACAGATCATTGATATGAAGCAGGAATAATGTTGGTGCCAAAATTGATCCTTGTGGAACGCCGGAATTGATGCCAATAGTATCAGACGATACACCGTCCACCACCACGTGAAGCGATCTGCCTGAAAGAAAACTCGATAAGAGATGGCATAGCTGAGGTGGTAAGCCGTATGATGGTAGTTTGTGGAGGAGTCCTTCGTGCCAAACACGGTCGAATGCTTTCGATATGTCCAACGCGACAGCTAGAGATTCCCCGTGTTTTTCTATTGGAGATTGCCATAAATGGGTGACGTAGGCAAGTAGATCTCCAGTAGATCTTCGGTGGCGAAAGCCGTATTGTCTATCATTGATGATTCCTGAGCTCTCCAGATATTTGATAAGCTCAATATTGATGGTTTTCTCCATCACTTTGGAGATTACTGATAACAGGGCAATGGGCCTGTAGTTGTTGGGCAGGTTCTTGTTCCCTCTTTTGGGGATTGGTTGGACTCTAGCTGTCTTCCAGCATGATGGAAAAATACCCGACCTGTACGAGATGGTAAACAACTTGCAGAGAACCGGTGTTAATTCTGGTGCACATTTTTTGAGGATAATGGGTGGAATTCCATCAGGACCGTTAGCCTTATTCGTTTTGAGACCAAGCAAAATTCGTCTGATAGTGCGTTGACGGAAGACGATTTCGGGCATTCGACTCTCAACGGGTGGAATGTCTGGCGGCAGTTTTCCTTGGGAATCTAAAGTAGAGTTAACTGCGAACATCTCTGCAAAAATATTCGCTTTCTCCTGCGATGTTGTTGCTTATGTGCCGTCGGATTTGGACAGTGGTGGAAATGAACTATTAGTGAAATTTCTTCCGACCGCTTTAGCAAGGGACCAAAACGAACGGGAGCCATTGGGACAATCTATGAGTTTCGATCTTATCTTGGCATTGTATGTTTCTTTCGAAGCATCTATTGTTTGGCTGCAGTTATTCCTGGCATCAACGTATTCAGCTCTAGTCGCGAGGTTAGGGTTTTTGCGCCAGCGATGGTAGGCTGTTTGTTTCACGGCAACAGTTCTAGAACAGTTTTTGTTGAACCAGGGTTTCGAAGGTGACGATCTTTTCGAAAAATGAGGTATGTATGTGTCCATTCCGAGCATGATGATCTGGGATATTTCCGCAGCACACTGTGAAGGGTCCTCAGAGTCAAAGCATACTTTATGCCAAGGAAACTCGGAGAAAAACATGCGGAGACCGTCCCAATCTCCTGAATTGTAATGCCATATAAGACGTGGGGGTGCCGGAGCAGTTGATGGAATGAAAAATGGGCAGGTTGTGGAGATGAGTGTGTGGTCAGAATTGCCAAGTGGAGCTCGTACATCTATGGTGTAGGGTGCTGAGTTATTAGTGAGGAATAAGTCAAGTATGTTAGCTGAATGGTTATTGGCATCAGGAATTCGTGTGGGTTCTTTGATAAGCTGCTCTAAGCCGTGAGTGATGGCGAAAGCTTCGGCTTGTCGCCCAGCTTCATCCGTTCTGTTAGAGTGTACGAGCCAAGCAGTGTTGTGTACATTAAAATCGCCCATGATGATGATTTCTGCTACTGGATGATTCTGTTGAATTTGGTCAAGCTTCAGAGACAAGAATTCGAAGAGCTCTTCATAGGATGGATCATTTGGTGATACGTAGAGACAACAAAGGTATTTGGTCTGTTTCTGGCTATCGAGTTTGAACCACATGACATCAAACTTATTTGGTTCCAAAGTTTTTTCTCGTTGACATGAGAGATTCGTTTTAGAGTAGAGGCAGAGACCTCCCTTGAATCTGAAACGTGTGTGGAGTTCGTACCCAGGACAGAGCAGATAGGTCGTATTGGTGGATGAATTGACCTTTGTCTCAGTAAGAGCCAATATGTCTGGCTTTTCAATTTTAAGGTGTCGATGGACATCGTTGATGTTCTTACTCAGACCTCGGATGTTGCATAGGTCTATCTTGAGGACTTTTTGAGCCGATGGTGAACCCCCTCTAGCACCTCTCGCCCGGAAATCCGAATGGAGAGGTATTTTACTTCCGGATAATTTCACTTGAGGAGAACTCATCATCGCGTATTCTGTATAAAGAAGGGAGGTTGGCGTGGAAGAAAAAGGAAATTGGGTTGGGTTGGGTTGGCCGGAACATCAACCAGCTACTGAAACACGGGTAAGTATACCCATTTCGCAGTGCCTATGGTTGATGTGGTGGTATCGCACCGGGCGATGGCGTTAACCATCTTCCACCTATTGGCGTCCTTTTTGTCGCCTTCTACGACAGGCAGGACTTACCGTGGGGTTATTCTAATCCGACCACCACACAGTATATAAAAAACTGGTTTATTATCTTTTCTTGAATCATTCTCTTTGTTCCTAGTCGGCAGAATTCCGGCTCCCCTCAAGAAGGTGAGTTTATTTCTGAACTTATCTACTAATTTTCCTTTCGCCACACCTGGTTTGTTATCCAGCGAATCCCTTTTTCTAGTGAGCGGAAGGAAATATGACTCAGTAATTTCACACGGGAATAGCTGTACAATTTTGTTGCTCAACATTAACTCATTGTTGGACACATGCCTGCGAAGATAAACATCCATCTTACATCATATAAAGATTCCTGGGTTCTTGTTTTTTTATGAAAATTAACAATTTTACCCTAGGATATAGTTTTCGAATTTGTGTTTTTTTTCAACATACTACTCAGCGAGCTAAAGAGATACTATCAATTTATTATTATGATGGAGTTCAATGTAGGAATGAAAAATGATTTGTACGTGAAATATTTATTCAGAATTCACGTGCAGATATCCACCCACTAGCTTTGCCTAGTGGTATCGAATCTGCCTTCAATTCCGTAGAAGCTGATAAGTGAACGATCTGAAAACCTTAACTCGGAGTAAAATATTAGAGTGAATATATAGTACAGGTGCTCCATGCAAACATTCACCATAAATCACACCATGGGTGCTAACGCCGTATTGTTTGAAGAGCTACGCAAATTGATAATCCAAGAGAACAAGAAAAAAACGGAAGATATAACACCCCAAATTAACCGTGAACAGTATACCAAGGAGACCTACTGAAATTCGCCGAAAACCTTTTCCAAACTCACCTACAGCTCACTATCAAAAAAAGCGAAATAGACAATGCCTACCTCATTTCACAGAGCCAAGAGAAACCAAGAGTCATAGCTGTGAGATTTGACTCTTTCCTTATAAAAATACAAGTTTTGAAAAACTGTCATCTTCTCAAAAAAACATCCATAGTGATAGCCGAGGACCTTGGACTGGAAGACAGACAAGAAAAAAAATTGCTCATTCAACGAATGAGAAAGGAGAAAGAAAACAACCAAAAAGCACACATAAAGGGCGGAAAACTATTCATAAATAGTGTAGGTGACACCTACAAGGAGTTGCTAGAAGAGAAAAACAAGAAATCTGAAGGGGAAAATTGGTCAGAAAATCAACAATCCAGCAACAGTACTTGCACAGGAAATAGAAAAGCAGATTCCCAGGAGAAACGAAAAAAAAGAGAAGAACCAAGAACCATCGCGTCAAACAAGAGCACGAACAAACTCTACGAAATAATAATAACATAATATCCGACCTGTATTACTATTTCAAACTCGATTTCAAATTGCTACCAAGAATCATATTAAACATTTAACATGAGCACGTGTACTATTGTCAAGAGAAAGAAATGGATCCATACATACGAGACTTTTCTACAACCAAACTAGATACTTTTTTTTAAGTAGTGATACAGAGGTGAAAGAAGTCCTTGAAATCAATAAACGAACTGCCAACTTTAAAATAATACACAATAACATTCGCATCCTATTGAAAAATTTCGATGAATTCTAAATTCTCCGTGATGAGCTGGATTCGTCATTCGATTGTATAGTTTTTACTGAAACCCGCATAATTCACGACGCCACAACTTTCAATATTCCAGGTTACACAACATTATATAATTCTGGAGAATTGAACTAAAACGATGGTGTCATAATGTTTGTGAAGTCAAAATATTACGATTCACATACAACCATCGAACTCAATAAGAGTCTACTACTGAGAGTCAAAATAAATATACACAACACTGTCTTTATTATTAATGCTCTCTATAGGTCACCAGCTACAGAAATTGAACCTTTTGTCAATGAGTTAGATACTATTTTGAAACGTGATAATGATCATTCTGATAATAACTTAATAATCGGAGACATGAATATTGACTTGCTAATAAATTCTCGAGAGACTGGAAACTATTTGGACACCATGAGCGAATACGGGTATATATCCGCAATAAACATACCAACAAGAGTAAACAAGAATCCTCAGACATGTTTGGATCACATCCTCATCAAAAAGAAAAATTTTTATATATGACACAATCCTACCAATCACTCTAGAAACATCCGTTACAGACCATTACACGACCTTGGCGTAAATTGTAATACCATATGAGAAAAAGGTTTTGAGAAATGTCCAGTATTACAAGAATATAGATGAGAAAATGCTCAAAGTTAAAATGGAGAGTACTGACTGGAGTGGCATCTTATATTGTAACGATCCTGAACTTGGAACAAAAATGTTCATTGATATTCTGAAAGTAAAAATGGGAGTATGTACCAGCTTTACTAAAATAATCAACCAAAACAGAAAGAGAAAGTCGTGGATAACTAGAAGCTCGATCAATTCTGTGAACGAAAAAACGCCATGTATCGTAAGATGAAAAAAATGCAAATAATACAGCTCTACAGGTAGAATACTTGACCTATAGAAAAATACTAGATACATTAATCATGGAAGCGAAAAAAACAAAGCAAGTAATGATTCTGAAAAGCTATGGCAAACTATCAAAGAAATATCAGCCAATTAAGAATCTACACCTATAAATTTGATGAAATCAAAAATCGACGAACTCATAAGCGATCCGATTGAAATAGCAAATAGGCGCCTCGGTGATCGAGAGCGTGAAGGTACTGAGTTCGTATGGGGATTCCCACCAAGACATAGGTTCGAATCCTAGTTAGGCCATGGATGTTTGTGTTTGTATGTATACCTAACCCCGCACAAGTTTCGACTTATGGGGCGTTTGGTTCCAGTGCTGGGACCAACGAGGTATGCAATTGAAAAAAAAAGAAAAGTTTCAACAACGTTTTCATTTCTATTGGTACTGACCTGGCACAAACCATAAATAAAAATTAAGATTATTCAGAAAGAATAAATAAATGCAATCACTCCATATTTCTCGAGCCTGCAACTGAAAATGGGATAAAATATATTATATCACAACTCAAGAAAAAAAAGGCGCCTGGTACTGATGGTCTCAAATCAGAAACTCTAGAATTATTGTCTGATTATATATCGAAGCCACTGACCTATCTAATTGATATATCATTAGAGAAAGGGTACTTTACTCCAGCTCTCAAGATGACAGTAATAACGCCCATACATAAGAGTGGACAAAAAACCGAAGTAGCAAATTATAGACCAATCTCTCTAACAACAAGTCTTGCTAAAGTTTTTGAGAAAGTTATTCAGAAGAGATTGAATACGTTTCTTGAAAAACACCAGCTTTTGTCAGAATTACAATACAGCTTCAGAGAGTGTATGTCAACTCAAGATCCAATAAAAAAACGAACACAACAAATTTACAGATGTTTTGACGAATCTAAACCATCAATTGCTGTTTTCATAGACCTAAGAAAAGCCTTTGACACCATTGATCATTTTATCTTACTGAACCTCTTGGAAGACATTGGAATAAGAGGTATAGCAAATGATCTATTTGAATCTTCGATCATCAAAAGGGATAGATGAGTTGAACCCATTCTTTCAGCACAGAGATGTTTGTATGCAACATCAGAAGGAAGAGGGAATGATTCAGAAGTAAATGACTAGTCAACAGAACTATGGTGGGAGAATAGTGAACGTCATCGGGCCTCCAGCAGCATAGGCGTACAGTTTAATTTTAATATGGTCACATTAAATTCGAAAATGATAATGATACTAAATTACTCAATTCACGCTCACATAATATCGAAGCTACAAAATATACTCTTGCTCACAGATGTTCACTGTGTTGCTAATTGCAATTTCCAGAATTTCGAAAATGTAATCATGACATTTTCAACAAAACATATAAGATGAGGATCGACTTTTTCAGCGGCAGCAAAAAAATATATCACTCACCTGCTATGTCTTTATTATTATTATTTATGTCGCCTAGATAGTGAATCGTGGACGTAATTTCTATATAAATAATAAGGTCATTATCCATTCGCCAAACATGAATAAAACCTCGGGGCCAATTTTGGAGTTTTATTCATATGTTAAGTAGATACAATTTCTGAATATTGTTTTCACACAGTGATCAAACATATACATAGTATCAGCCAGACATGTCGTTGTGGAGCTATCATCACAGAGAAGGGTATCCTCGGACTGAGCTGCAAATTGAGTTCAGGTCGTTCTTCCAGACATTCCACGGTCAATGATTTGATCAAACGAGCTCTGTCGACTGCTGAGATTCCTTTTGTCCTAGAACCGTTGGGAGTCAGTCGAGATGATGGAAAGCGACCTGACGGAATGTCTCTTATTCCATGGAGTAGAGGCAAACCGTTAGTCTGAGACTTCACCTGCGTAGATACAATTGCAGCATCTCATATCAATTCAACATCAAGAGTTGCTGGTGGAGCAGCTGAATCTGCAGAAAAATTGAAATTGAGGAAATATCACCATCTGAAGGATCAATTCATTTTCTTTCCAGTGGCCATAGAAACATTTGGTGTTTTTGGAAGTTATGCTTCAGATTTCATGAAAATAATTGGACAGAGGCTCATCAAGAAAACAAATGACTCAAGGGCTAGTTCCTTTTCCATACAGCGCATCAGTATTGCCATCCAGAAAGGAAATTCTGTGTCTATATTGGGTGCAATTCCTTCCACTCAACGTCTCGATGAAATATTCATACGCCCGCAAAGGATACCAACATTGAATAACCAATGTTCTAACTTCAAAAAAATCAACCACCCTTATGAATTCTGGCAGAAAACCTTGAAAATTTCTGGTCCCAGAGGTTCGAAGAATATTGGCAACACTTGTTTCATGAATAGCATAAAACAATGTTTGTCAAACACTAAATGGATTTCGGAATTTCTTAGGGAAGAGGAATATATGGTTGAGTTGAATGATCCTGCATTGATAATGAAAGCATTTGTTGAAGTCAATCAATCAATCAATCAATCAAATCATTTATTTTCCATAACTGACAACATACATTGTATTGGAATAGTCAAAGATACTAAGAAACTTACGAACTAAAAAAAGAAAAAAAATAGAAAACTTACATACTAATGAGTGTATATGACAAATAGGAATATTACGTACACAAAAACTCGTTCACAGTATAAAAAACTTTGCCAACTAAAAATATTTTGATTTGTTTTTTGAATTCTGTTTCCTTTTCACAGTTTTTTATTGATTCAGGTAATTTGTTGAATAATCTTGGCCCAATAAAGTTTGGCGATGAACTGGTAATATTCAATCTGGCAAAGGGTATCCGCAAGTTATTTTTTTGTCTCGTATTGAAATTGTGCGTATCATAATTTTCCGGTGTAACTTCTCTATTTCTATGGACAAATAAACATATCTCAAAAATGAATAATCCAGTCAGAGTTAATATGTTAAGTTTTTTGAAAAGATCTCTGCAAGAGTGTTGTCTTGGTTTTCCTGTTAAGCACCTTACAATTCGTTTTTGTGCAATGAATATGTTTTTAGAATGTATGGAATTGCCCCAGAAGTTAATTCCATATCTCAAACGAGATTCCACTTGTGCATAGTAAAAGTTCATCAATTGTTCATGAGTCAAAATAGTCTTCAAATTGTATATCAAGTAATAGAATGAGTTAAGTTTAGATGTTAATGATTCACAATGTGTTTTGAAATTTAGATTCTTGTCTAGTTCAATACCCAGAAATTTCACAGTATCGCTGGTTACAAGTTGTTGACTGGATAATTCGATAATGAAATCCTCACTGCTGTAACGTTGAGCTGTCTGAAATCTGACGATAGATGTTTTATCTGGATTGAATGATAATTTATTCGACGAAAACAATCTCATCAAAGACTCTAATATAAATTCACATTCATTTTGTAGGATATTATTGGATTTGTTCGAAATAATCAATGATATATCATCAGCATATAATGTGAAATGAATCCTAGGAAATATTGTACCAATACCAAGTGATTAACGGACTATGGTTGGAAGATTCAACTGATACTGTGGTGAATATCCTTACTTTGAAAAATCAGATCCAAAGATTTGCTCCACGTTTCATGGATTACGCTGAACAGGACGCCCAAAAATTCCTTAGATATCTTCTCGAAGGCCTTCATGAAGATGTGAAAAGGATAACAGAAAGGTCTGAGCAAATCTTCACAGAAATAGATAAAAAACTTAGTGATCATGAGAAAGCCCAAGAGTCATGGTCTAGATATTTGAGAATAGTAAACTCGATTATTGTAGAAAACTTTGTTGGTCAATTGGAATCAACTTTGAGTTGTTCTCATTGTGGATATTGCTCTGTGA